CGGAGAAAAAAAATAAAATAGAAATTCCAAAAATTCACTTTTTTCGATATAACTCAAAAACTAAAAATAATTTTCAAAATTTTCGAAGGCTCTTGATATGAGCCTCCGAATGCGCAACTTTTTCCCCATTTAAGCGACTTCGTATCTCCTACCGTTTCCGAGATCCCCATGCTGTTCAACCTTATCTTGGACAGACTGTATAATATTCCATCAAAAAAATAAACAGAATATTAGTCTCAATCTCCAAATTAAAAATGAAGTATTGAAAAGAACTACACAAATGAAGTATCTTGGTATGTGGATTGATGAAAAATTGAAATGGGACAAGCATATAGAGGTTCTGATACAAAAAATATCTCCAATCATTGGAGCTTTGCGAAGATGTCCTAAACTTGACAAAAAAGTCATTAACATAGTACTTCATTCTCATATACTCAGTCGTATCACCTATATGATAAACGTTTGGGGATCTTGTTCAAAAAATTATTCCAGTAAAATATCTGTACTTTATAAGAAAGCACTCAAAGTATTGTATCGCCTCTCATTTGATATCCCAACAAATGATCTGTATGCCATAACAGAAAAATTTTCATTGGATGAATTATATAAAATAGATTCTCTTAATGTTCATATAATATAATAAACAATAATCTGAAATCCAATTTTATTTTGATAAGAAACTCAGAAATTCATGATCATCACACGAGACAATCAAACTTATTTCATCTTGATTCTGCTACTTCTATATTTGGCCAAAAAAAATTAACTCACGCTGCTCTAGCTGAATTTAATAAATTACCACATAATATAAAAAATTGCAGACATATTTCAAAATTTAAAATTGAATTAAAAAAATACATGATTTCATTACGAAATGGTTAAAATTTATACTTTGCCATCTACTGATGAGTCCCTGTGGCTATTTTTATGACTTGATCGATTTAGCATTTTTAGATTGTTTAGATTTTTTTGTTGTTGTTGTTGTCACCTTATATTATTTTATTATTGTTGTTTGTAATCAACTTCCTCATACCAGAATTTTATTTCTGACTGGAAGCTAGTTTTTCAATAAACAATAAAACTTTGGTTACTTTCTCATTAACTGGAATTCCGGGGGGTGGGGGTGGACCCAAGCAAATGAAAGGGGATAATGTCCCTTTTTCAAATTTCCCAACGTGCCGTGACTCAAACTGATCTAAGTCAGCTGCAGAGCGTTAATATTTCCTTGAATATTACGCCCCTCTCTAAAGATAATATCCGATGTACCAGTGTAAAACTCAACATGTAGTGCGAGCACCACATGAGTTTTACACTGGTCCATTAAATATTATCTTTCTACGGGGGTGAGATATTCTCGGAAATATTGACGCTCTGCCACTAACTTAGATCAATTTGAGTCGCGGCACGTTTGGATATTCGCAAAGGGGACATTATAACCTTTCATTTGCTTCTTGTTTCAACCGCACACGAAAGTGCAATTTTTTAATCATTTTGCTCAGGATAGTGATTGGCACAGGTGCTGTTCGATAATATACAATATTTTTACATGCCTTACTGGTACTGATTCTAGTGGGGGACGTTTGCACGTCAGCAACTAGTCCCTAATGGGACCTTTTTGCATGCCCCAAGGTGTCTTTAATGAGTGATGTGGTTCGCTTAAGAGAGCTGGCTAACAATCCATGCCTTTGGAATATACAGGGTGTTTCTCAAGTACGTGTAGAAAATTCAGGAGCATGTTGCTGACGTCAAAATAAGAAGAAAAGTTCGTATCAATATATGTCCGAAAGTTATTCGTTTCTGAGATACAGAGTGTCAAAGTTGAATTTTTATTTTTGTATTTTGTTAATTTTCAAAATAATTGTGATATTCGAATGAAGTTTGGTATCTAGTGGTATTTCTCAATGACACTATCAAATTTGATGTTAGTTTGTCTCTTTTGTGGGGGGGTGCGTACCTGTATCACGTTTCATAGTAGAAAAATAGATTTCTAGAACACTTCTGTGTACAAATTATATTCTTGGTAGGGGTCGATGCGAGCAACTGTTTTCGAGTTATTGAGATTTGAAATAATTGATGTATTTGAATTATTTCCATGTTGCTCGTATGTCGCCTCTAGTGAATATCAGAAAAGATACACCAGTGCATTTTTCTTCTTTCATTCAATATTCTCCTACATTCAACAATTCAACATTGGAATGTAGGCAAATGATGATTCTTACTTCTTTGTATCTACTTGTTTGGCCACTTTGAACAATTACTTTAATCAATTCCCTCTACTAACTGTTTTACTATCAATTTGGTCTTAATTACTGTCATTATTATTAGTATTGAACTGTAATAACACCCGATTCCTATTTTAAAATGAATTTTAATGAAAATTTCCTCACTTGATAAATCAATTTTAACTTCCAACTTCTTGTCATTCCAAATTACTAGCATTGATTATTTCAAATCCTAATAACTCGAAAACAGTTGCTAGCAGCGACCTTTAGCAGGAATATATTTTTCACACAAAAGTGTTCTAGAAATCTATTTTTCTACTATAAATCGTGATACAGGTACGCACAAAAAAGTGTTAACTTTTCAAAAGACTCAAAAGACATGTAGGTGGTGCCACCCCCACGAAAGAGACAAACTAACAGAAAATTTGATATTGTCATCGAAAATTACCCCGAAATACCAAACTTCATTCGAATATTACAATTATTTTGAAATTTATTAACAAAAAACAAGAATAAGAATTCAACTTTGACACTCTGTATCTCAGAAACGAATAACTTTCGGACATATATTGATACGAACTTTTCTTCTTATTTTGACGTCAGCAACATGCTCCTGGATTTTCTACACGTACTTAAGAAACACTCTGTTTATCATTGCGTTATCAGATGACGGTCGAAATTTGCAGCCGACTCTCCTACTATATGGTCCAGTTCGGAGGATTAACTGACATCTTACTTCCTAGATATGTCAAAATATATATCCCTGATGCACTTCAATATAAACTTGTATATTTCCCGAAGATATATCGCTCACTTGATTTTTTTTTTCGAAAAAAAAGAAGAATCATCCTTTTGTGATATAAATAGTTTCCAAAACCTAAAATGCCTGAAGCGCGCCAAGAACATATATTGGGAATAATAAAAATTAATCATTCTATGGGAGAGCGAGTTTTGATTTTGAGAGTTGTTCGAGGTATCTGAGGTTGACGACAAAGGGATGTGCCGACTAAGCTTGTTTTTTGCATTGGCTCGGTCGTTACTTGGTAGTCCTCCAAAGTACCTTATTTATCAAAAAGAAACTAAAATCGTAGTAGTATATTTTTCCCATGACACCTTTTTCGAGAATTTTGTGCGAAGTCTTACCGTTTTTTTTTTTAAATTGACTCGGCCGTTACTTGATGGAAATCTATGACAAATGTAAAAACTTCGCAAACGATAAGATTTCCACAATATTCTCAAACACACGACATGTTTCGCTAACACAGTAGCTTCGTCAAGTGATATACTGGTACAATGAACTAAACCAACGTTGGCTTGCTTAACTTTTATATATCCTACTTTCCCAACCTGAAGGATTAGTTACCTGTGGACAGGTACGATCTACTTTCATTTTCGGAAATTAGCCACAATATTTACATTGAAATACAGTGTACTAGATTAACTTGAAAGAGTGATAGCAAATACATATTATTACCTACTACTAAAACAAATTCAACAGTGGTGAACTATTGAGGTCTAATTGATCGTTAAGTAAAATGTCAGAAATTTTGAGTTCGTTGATTTCTAATGATTCAAAATGATCGAGTTTCATTCTTTTTCCATTTGATGTACAGAACCTATTTCCAAGTATACCTCCCGAAGATACTATAATAATTGTAGTTGAAGAGTTATTAGATAAAAACCATGTTAATCCGATTACCAAACAAAAGATTTTAGACCCTCTGTCGATATGTCTCAAACAAAATTACTTTCAATTATTTGACAACAAAATATATTCCGCGACAAAAGGGTTGATTATGGGAAATCCACTAAGCCCTTTACTTGCGGAAATTTTCATGGATAACTTGGAGCGAATAATACATAAATATTCATTGGTAAAACAATGTTTGTATTGGTATAGATACGTAGATGATGTTATAGTATGCCTTAAAGGAACCAATAGACAATTGGACACTTTTCACCAATATATTAATACTATTCATCCAAACATAAAATTCTCAATAGAAATAGAAACAGAAAAGTCAATGAATTTCTTGGATTTGACAATAAGTAAAATTAATGATAAACATGATTTTTCAATTTTCCATAAGCCTTCCCACACTGATATCACTATTAATAATAATTCAACACACCCTTATCAACATAAAAGTTCAGTATATAATAGTATGATACACAGGCTAGTGAATGTCCCTCTTTCGGAAGTAAATTTCAATATGAACTCAATATCATAAAACAGATTGCAGTCAACAACGGATTAATAAGATTAATCAAGTCATTCTGAGAATCAGGAAGGTAGCTATTCATCTTGTTCAATCCCAAATTGAACAATTTCAGCATTATCTGTATGTCGGCCAATAATCGGAAGTCTTTAGGCTGGCCCCGCTATTCCCAGGGAATGACATTTCGCATAAAATTGTTAACATTCAAATTTCGAGAGGCATATGGTCTTTTATGGAAAAATTGAAAGTAAAAACGTATTTTTTTAATTCAGTCGCTGCGGACTACTCGAATTCTGACCATATACGAAAGCCACGTCCAGAATCGGCCGCTGACTCGATGTCTTCGAATTTTTGACTCGTAAATCAGTCCATGCTTAAGATCACTTCCCTGAACAGTCTTATTGCAGTCTGGGGAGTGAGTGTTCATTAGCAGTTTCAAGCTTTCCTCTGCTTTTTACGTATAGGTGCCTTTCGACAGCCCTATTCCGGGACTCAATTAATCCCTTCAATGAACTTCGTTATTCATTACTATTTGAATTATATGTATATCTCTTTTCAGATGGTTAACGAAGAAGAATTAGCAGTTATTGATAAGTTGATCGACTTTGGATCTCGAAATGCTGGTGATTTACCTCATCATGTTGTACTTAGTTTGTATAAGTATGTGATTTTTTTCACTTTCGATGCCATAAAATATAAAAAATATAATGTTTTCCAGAAAAGGACTGATATACTTAGATGTACCCGTAACTGCAGAGGATAGGGTTCAGGTTCCTCCACTTCAAGGTTTCGTTATGAATCGGATTTTAGGAGACTATTTCGAAACACTTCTCTATAAGACATTTGTGTCAATTGATGAACATACTACAGTTGGAGAGGTAACTTTAAACGACTTATGTATCACCATATTTTATACACTATGTTTTCAGTTAGCAGCAGTTCTGCAAGTTGATACTGAATTGCTGAAACAAGCTGTTTCTTTATATTGTCGATTGAAATTTGCCCTGAAACTTAATTCTGACATGGAACAAGACAGAATACAGTGGCATTCTTCCTGGAAACATGTGCCAACACAAGATTCACAGTGAGTGACAATTTTGCACATGTCATAATTTCCACTAAGAACTTCTCAGAATTTGAAAGTTTTTATAGTTTACAGATAAATTATTTATGAGTGATACCACACACGCTCAGAGGGGGGGGGGGGTTGATACCATTTCCTGTAACATATTCGTTTTTGGGACAAAATGCTCTGAACATGTCTACCTTGAGGGATGTGTAGGATACAGTGGCCTTCAATCATTTGATTATTTGTTACTGCCTTCTGATAGAAGCAAATGCAAATTTAATATTATATAAATATCATTTACCGACTCACCATTAAAAAAACAACACCTTTGTGATGGGCTAGTGGACTATTTCTTCTTTGTTTTTTGAATTGAGTAAACACTCAAATACCTTTCAATTCCATATTTATTTAAATTTTTTTGGTCAATTTTGAGGTGCTGAAATCATCAATTTGTCAGCAATTTTCAAACGGCTAGAAAAAGACCGCAAATAAAAACTGACGTCACCAGTGGCTATCATGCTAGTTGTGCGGGTGAAAAGTACCCTGTACAACTAGCATGATGACATTCAGATTATAGCAAAATAACGCTTCTAGCTATTGGAATAGCTATTAGAGTCTGACACAACGAATAGTTTTTTGACAAATTATTTTTATTATATTATATTGACTTTGACAACAACCATCTATCAATATAAAATGAACTACTTCATAAATATACAGAGTCAAACTAATAATGCTCGTAATCTTCAACACCTTCCCTCATTTGCCAGTTTGACTAGTCCCATATGTTCTTTAAGTTTTTCCAACCTTGGCTTGAAAACGGGCTTTGTCAAAGCATCAGCAACTTGTAGTATGGTGGATATCTTTTTGATGTCTAATATCTCGTCGCATACCAATTCCCTTATGAAGAAATGTCTCGTTCGGATATGTTTTATTCTCCGATGGAATTTGGGATTTTTCGATAGTTTTATTGCTGCTTCATTATCCACCATCACACAGGGAATGTCTTTCAAATCAATGACTTCTTCATAGAGTCGTTTCAACCATACAACTTCTTTAGCGGCTTCGCTTGCGGCAACTATTTCCGCCTCAGTTGTAGAGATGGATACAGAAGGTTGACGCTGACTCAACCAGGATACAGCACAGGAAGCATACATACAGATAACTCCAGTAGTGGAACGACCAGTAGATGAATCACCAGCATGATCTGCATCGCTAAAAGCCTTCAAGTAGCCTCCAGTTCCATACAAATATTTCAGTCCGAAGTGAATGGTCCCTTTAAGGTAACGGAAAATTCTCTTCACCCTGACAATATCTTCTTTAGTTGGACTTTCGAGATTTCTTGAAGCCACTCCAACTGCAAATGCTATATCAGGCCTTGTTCCAGTCATCAGGTATATCAAACCTCCCACTGCTTCTCTATACGGAAAACTTCCAGTTATTTCTACCTTATCTTTCTTCCCTAACTGGACATTTTCCTTTGTTATAGGAGTTGTTACAGGGTTACTGTTTTCCATGCCAAATTTTTCCAACAGTTTCTTAGTGTAACTAACTTGACTTACACACACTGTTCCATCTTCCATTCTATCAATCTCTAAGCCCAACAAATAGTTAGCAGGCTTTACTGTTACCTTGAATTCTCTTTCTAGGCTTTGAAGAAATTCTTTCATCAATTTCTCGTCATTTTACGCCAATAATCCGTCGTCAACATAAAGTGCCATGAGTAGTAAACTTGAACCTGATTTATTGATGAACAAACAAGGATCTGCTTCACTTGTTCTGAATCCAAATTGGAGTATGAAATTAGCAATTCTCTTATTCCAACACCTCGGTGCTTGCTTGAGACCATAAAGGCTTCTTTGTAGTCGACAAACTCGATCAGTGTTATCTTTGAATCCTTCAGGTTGTTTCATGAATACCTCCTCGTCTAGTTCACCGTAAAGGAAAGCTGTTGATACGTCGAATTGGGTTAGCAATAAGTTTTCACTTCCAGCAATACTCAAGAGTGCTCTCATAGTTCCGGCCTTAGCAACAGGACTGAAGGTTTGAGTATAATCTTCGCCTTCTTTCTGTGAGAAACCTCTCACTACCAACCTTGCTTTGAACTTATCTATGGAACCATCTCTGCTTATCTTCACCTTGTATACCCATTTACAGGAGATTGCCTTTTTTCCTTCTGGCAATTCTTCCAGGGTCCAGGTTTTGTTATCTTTGGGTGATTGCATTTCACTTTCCATCGCTTTTAACCACTCTTGTTTTTCATCTCTATTCATTGCTTCTTGATAACTCACGGGTTCATGGAGGTTTTCAATTTTGGTTACTGCCCTCATAACATAATCTTCTAACTTGTGTGGTTTCTTAAGTTCATCTCGATTTCTCAAGGTTCGTGTCACTTTCTCTTCATTAGATAGACACTCTTCTATATCAAAATCTGAAACACTTTCGGTAGCACCTTCTTCTTGAGCCGTATCAAATTTACCTTGCATTGGATGCATCTTCATCTTCAGAATTGCTGACAACTATGTCTTCTGAATTTGGTTCATCAGGTTCTCCTTGTGCTTCAACTCTTACAGATTGTTCTGAAGTTACTTGTGGTATTTGAACTCCTTCTGAAAATCGAGGTCGCTCTTCAAAAATGACATCACGTGATCTTATCAGCTGTCTGGTTTGTTTGTTCCAGATGCGATATCCGTCATCATTGTCGTAGCCAATCAGAATACCTTTTCGTGCTTTTTTATCCATTTTCTGTCTATACACTTTAGGGATGTGAGCATAACATGTGGATCCAATTATTCTCAAGTGTTTCAGACCTGGTTTCTTGTCCATCCAAACTTCATATGGACTCTTATCAGGAATACTTGAGTTGCCTGATCTATTGAGGATGTACACAGCCGTGTTAATCATCTCTGCCCACAGGCTTTGAGGAAGTGGTTCATTGGCTGAATGAAACAAGGTTCTTGCTGTCTCAACTATTGTTCGGTTATCACGTTCAGAATAACCATTTTGTTCCGGAGTGTGTGGCATAACCAGTCTTTGACGTATTCCATATGCCTGAAGAATTCTCCTCACACGTTGACTGTCAAATTCGCCTCCATTGTCGCTCAGGAACTCTTGAACAATATGACCCATAGATCTAGATCCTTCTAATGCAACTTTCAACTTATCCGGTACCTCAGACTTTTCCTTCATATAATAAACAAAACGATATCTACTATAATCGTCTTTGAAAAGGACGTAGTATCTGAACCCAGATTGAGATCTGTCGAATGGTCCACACACATCAGAATGCCATATTTCTCCAGGTCGATTAGCGCGTTTTCTTGTACCAAATTTCAATCTATGTGCTTTTCCATAAATACATCCCTCACATAGCTCACTATCTAATTTGACACTGATGCCAAATTCTCTGGCTAATAGTGACTTTATGTGCCGTTTGTTTTGATGCCCTAGCTTCTCAAGGTAAAGTTGCAGAACATTTTCAGTTGAGATGATATTTACTTCATTGGCATTAAGTGGTTTGACATTTCTCACATAATTTGTACAAATTCCCATAACGACTTCTCAATCCATAGAGTAGGACTTGACCATTGACCTTTAGTTCGCATTTTCCGGTTTTCGAAGTAAACTCACTATCTGTATTTCTATCCTGGGCTGATAGAACAGAAAACAGATTCTTATTGGAACATACCAGACCTCTTCTAGAGAAACCTCATTCACCTCTCTCCCAACAATAGCTTCCAAAGTGATTGTACCTTTTCCCAATGCGCTAATCGAATCGCCATTTGCAGTGGTTACAGAGTGCTTTGTCAAAAAATCTTCATAAGTCTCAAATAGATCTCTTCGATTTGTGATGTGATTAGTAGCTCCATTGTCAAAAAACCAGCTTTCCCTATCGCATTCTGCTGCTAACACAGTATTGGTCTCAGCTAATAAACTTTGCTTGTGATTTTCTTTGGAGGAAAGTTGAGCTTGTGGTTTTGGCGGTCTACCATCAGCTTTCCACTTGTCACATTGACGTACTCTGTGTCCATATGATTTACAGTAATTACAGAAGGGTCCCTTTTTGTAGTTGGTCTTCCTTCTACCATATGATTTTTCTGCTGCTAACACTTCCTTATTGTTGCTATCTTCGATCTTGTTCATCAAAGCTTTTTCATATGAACAGAGTTGATTTGTTAGATTATCAACTTTTCTTTCAGCTTTTGACATGAGCATCCAACCTGATTTGAACGAAAAATATTCCTCAGGTAGTGTGTCTAAAATCTTACAAATCAGTAGTAGCTCAGGAAGGTCACAATCGCAAGAATGTCCCATGGTTAACCTGTCTTTTGAAATTTCCATCTGAAGTTGATTCCAAATATTCTTCAGTTTTGACATATGGGTAGCTATATCATCTCCCATATCTCTTCTATAGCTGAAGAATTGGAAACACAAATCATAGGTTTTATCTTCCGAATTACCATCGAATAACCTATGCATTTCTATCCATACTTCATATGCAGTTGAAAATCTCATGACTTTGGTAAGAGTTTCTTCGGTAATGTTAGTAGTAAGTATAAGAAGAGTATTACTATCTGCTTTAGTGTATTCAAGCAAAGTTTCCTCATACTGTTTCTTTTCATCAGTACCTGGGTTTCCAACAGGAGGATTAGGTTTAACCAATTTACCTTCCAATATTGCCAGTGCTCCTGGAACACCTCTAAGCAGTATCATCAGCTTATACTTCTATGTTACACAGTTTGATTTGCCTTCTAGAAGACCTATTTGAATTCGGTGGGCTTCAAAAACAGCCATTTCTTTTTCAATCAGTATCTTGACGAGAAACTCTTGGGGCGTTCTCAAACTTGAAACTTGGAGTAAAAATCACCTCTAATCGCGTTCTGAGCCCATAACCTATAGCAAAATAACGCTTCTAGCTATTTGAGTAGCTATTAGAGTCTGACACAACGAATAGTTTTATGACAAATTATTTTTATTATATTATATTGACTTTGACAACGACCATCTATCAATAT